GTACACATTCGCAGAACTATATGTTTTTAAAATAAATTGTTTTTGTCAATATTCACTAGGTGGGGTTACCTTATTAAAGAAAATCTTCGAACCGCTAGAGGGTGCAGATGGTCACGCGAACAATATGATCAAGTCTCATTGCCGCCATTGCTTTTCTTAGGGGTGGGAAAATATCTGGGCTCTGATTGGCTTCGCCGCCATCGCAAACTAGAGGTGGGGAGATTGATTAAACCCCATTGGTGCTTGCTTATCCAATGGGAGCCAGTTTCAAGGGATTATGGGTAAAGGGGGAGGAGCTAGAGAGTCGTGGGTAAGGAGGACACCCCACAAAAAGGGAGAGGAGTGGGGGAAGCCTATATTGTACTTAATAACTACTATCCAGTAAGCTCAAAATATTTAAAATGTATAGTTTTAAAAAAATGCAAATTCGCCATCTTACCCAACATGTCGGATAAGTTGGCGAATGAATGAGGATAAGATGACGAATTAACGGAAGTCACAGACAAAGTAATTTATTCCATCAAAATTACTGCATGCCTCATGCCACCACAGCTGGCACTCCTCCTTTGGGAGATCTTGGTAGGTCTCTTCACATCCCGGACAAAATATAACTTCACAATCGCTCTTTCTTTCGTCATGTTTTTTCCGAGTTTTATTTTTCTGTTCGTTAAGTTTCCTTTGGTTTTTCAGCTCTCTATGTTTCTTTTTCTCATTTATTCTTTTTTCATTTTCAGTGGCAAGATTTTCTCTTTCTTGAACCTCTTTTTTACCGGTGTAGACGTTATAATTCTTGCTGTAATCTTTTTCTTTTTAGTAATGGTCTCGTTTCTAAAAACTCTTGGAAGTGGTTTCATGTCTTCCACTGAAACTCTCTTTTTTTTTTTTCGTTGCACTGATCACTTATTGTAGATTTTTGACGGTTAACATTTTCCACTTTTTCTTTCAACATTTCCTCGGACCGGGTTGGTCCATCAGATCCATTTCGTTGTGTGTCGAATTCCCATCATGAACAAATAAGTTTCTTTTTACTGCATCTGTTTTCGATCGGTTCATACAATTACCAAGATTCGGTGTTGAATTTTCATCCAGATTGTTTTGCTTTGATACAAACTTAATCAACGGTTGATTGTCGCCAGCCTCACTGTCAGTATCGTTTTAACATATTAACTTCTGGATATTCTATTTGTCTATTCTCACAGTTCAAGTTTGGCATTTCTCTATCTGTTGTTAAAGCTCGGGCAAAATATATTCCGATAAAATGGACAAATACCACTACGTCTGAATCCATTGATAGCATTACCAATAGTTGCAGCCTTTTCGTATGAGCGGCGAAATAAGTCAGCAATATCTTTGTCAGTAATTGTTTGCCCTGGATAGTTTATCATGAAACAGTCGCACTCCTGACTAAAATAGGTTTTTAAGGGAATAAAAAATGACACATCCATAGGTTGTAGTCGATGGGTTGTATGTGGGGGAAATCCGACCATTATAATGCCAGATTCGCATGCAAAATCGATGGATTGAAGAGTAACGTGGCTACGATGATTGTCCACAAAAAGCAAAATGGGTTCCTCCGGAGAGCATTTCGTGTGTTGCTTGAAGTGTTTCAGATATTTTAGAAATATCTCCGAATCCATCCATCCGTTTTTCTGCGCGCTTCCTGATTACCCTACAAGTTCGTTTTTCATGCGGACTCTGCAGAAAAAAAAAAAAAAAAAGGTGGAACATAATTACTAGCAGCATTGGCAGCGCAGACCACCGTTGTATTCTTGCCCCTTTCCGGTGAAACTACTTTTGCCACTCTTCTATTTCCACGTGGACTGAAGACTTTGGGAATTTTGGTGGGCACCGTAGAAACACCAATTTTATCTGCATTATAAATGCTCTCGTGCTTTTGTGGTATTTTGTATAAACTTCGCTAACGATATCGAAGAAGATGCCGACTGACGCTTTATTAAATCTCGTTAATCTTGCCAACGACGTAGATTCTGGTTTTCGCAACCTTAATTTCCATTTTTTGGCAAATCCAGCAGTCCAATCTTTTCCGGCCATCCCTTTTTCAGTCTTAAAACGATGGGGAATTTTGTTTCTTTCCGCATATTCATATGCTATTTCTCTCAGTTGAAGAAATGTAAGTCCAAAGGCAGGTTCATTTATAATTTTTATGTAATTATAAAGTTCTCTAGATTGTTCTTCCGAAAAGGTATCTCTGAATCTTCCACCATGAACAGGAAAACTTGTTCCTAGATGTCCGTATAAGTTTCGTGAAGAAATATTACATTTTAGAATTTATAACGAAAGTTAGTCATTTTAGTCACTTCGTCATCTTACCCGGTTTTCCCCTACTGCTGCGGATTGGACTTACCTCTGTCGATTTCTGAGAGTCAAACGTGCAATTTGATTTGACTTGGTTAAACAAAAGCTTAGAAAGTAAAAAGGAAGTTAACCCGATATTAACGGGCACGTTTTTGTAAGTTTTTGAAAACGGTTAATTTTATAAATACGTTTTTTAAATTCGATACTGTCGCTTTCATGAATATTTTTTATTATTATTAAGTACAACTACAGATTCTTATCTATCTTGCTTTCCACGCAATGTTAGAAAAATCGACAGTAGAAATATCGGGAGAATAAGGTAACAACAAAAATTACTATTTAAACAAAAAGTTTTTTGGTATTAAGCAAAAAGCAAATAATAATAATGTCATAACATCAGGCAACAACATGAGAAAGCCACCTAACACAACAATAATAATAATAATTATTATATAGGTGCATTAAAGTTAAAATGTCAGATAGAAGTTCAGGACAATAAACATGATTATTCACTAGTTTTTCCAGGACAATATTAAATAGGTCATTCAATTCATTGTTAATTTCTTCTGTACTCTCCCTAATGAGACTATGCATGTTCTGTAATAAGCATATTTGAGCACAAAAACTAATTATTAATTTCATAACCTTATGCTTAGTACGTACAATATCAACATGACAGCCGAATATTAGGTCACTACTAAATGTTACACCCAGATTTTTAACAGAATGAGCTCTTTCCAAGTAATCTTCAGACACTTATTATAGAACCGTATATTCGCTAACGTTAGGTCATTTAAATCACAACACAATGCGAAACTATCAAGATTACATTGTAGTTGTTCAAAATGACTTTTAGAATGAACTGGGCAACACATTTTTAAATTATCGGCATGCATTAATATCATGCAAATTGGTAGGTAATTAATGTAAGAATTTAATAAAAAAGGGAAGAGATCACCGTGCTGTGACACCTCCGACTTGAGTTTTACAGTTTGCAGTCGGTCGGTAAGAAAACTCCTCATACACTCCAGTATTGTTCCATGCAGTCCAAAGGCTCGCGAGTAAAATCCGTGTTAATTCAGTCACCTTTTTTTAAAATTTTAAAAATTTTACGAATTAAAAAAAAACAAAACTTAACCGAAGTCTCAACAAATTATTAGATTGTTTGGCTGCCTTGGACAGATATCCTTGAAAGCAATCAACTATGCGTTAAGTTAAAACAGAATCCACTTTGACACAAATTTGAATGTAACTTCGGACATTAATTTGCTACAAATTAGTAATTAGGAGTATAAACAGTGTAGATAATTGATTTTTATGATAATAGAATAATAATGATAACAATATTTATATTTCAACAAAATAATACAAAATGCATATGGTTGCAGAAAAATAGTTAAAAACAATTACCTAAAGTTCAAGTTCAACCCCTAAACACTGAAAGTAATATTCAAATATATACTTGCATATTATGTCCGATTCTTAACACAGCAATAAATTAAAAAGTTTTTTTCTATAGTTGCAAAAAAAAAAAAAATAAAAAACATATAAAAAAAGGAGACAAACATCAAATCCCGCTCTGCGTAGAGTCGTCTGCTACACACAATCGTTCTCGAGGGAGACGTTTAAATCAGTTTAAGCATTTTCTTAATTATTTCGGAACTCTATTGTCGTTATAAGAGAAAGATCTGTGAAAGAGGTTTAGTTGATGCTGTGGTAGGCAATATATAGCCACGAAATATCAAGTTCAGCGTATGAACGTCAGTACGAAAACTAATTTTATTATAAAGGTGATGAGGAAAAAATCCAATATTTTATTATGAAACAGAGGAACAGAATGTAATTTAATGATATATGATATTGGATCCCTGACACGTAAACCATAAATGAAACGCAAACAGCCCTTTTTGACCCACACAGCAATGAAAGTGACTTAAAACCACCGGATCAATCAATTTTGTTTTTAATGACTTTGACAACAAATTTCTACAAATGTTGGAGCATATTATTTCTTCACCTTGAATTTTTATGCGAAAAGTATCTTGAATGGTATCACACTGTTTATCAAATATCATTATTGAAGATTTTATTTGCAGTAATTTCTAAATTATGATCATTTGAAAACTGTATTAATCTTTGCAAATCTTCATTTGAAATGAAAAGTACAATTGTGTATTATCTGCGTAAAGGTGAACATTGCGTAGATAGTAAATAGAAGGAACCTTGTGGAACGCCACACCTAAATAGCTCCGCAGATGACCCAGAAAACTCCACACTGATAATTGCGTAGTAAACTTATAGCTCCTCCGGAAAACCAATAAAATTTAAAATTGCAATTATGCCTGGTTTAACCTCTATCTGCGACTCTAATTATCTCATCTGTGACATCTAGCCATGCGGTCGTACAACGAAACCCTTGTCTAAAACCCAACTAATTTAAAGGAGGTACATCATAATTTTTGCAGATGCTCTCTCATCTGATAATTCATTATTTTTCCAATGACATTTGATAATATTGGTAGTATGCAATTTAGGTCACTAAAATCTGAAAGTTCGAACTTTCTAGGGAGTGGAATTACTTTCGACATCTTCTACTTCTCCGGAAGTACTTTATCTAATAGACAGGAATTAACAATATTAGTCAGAAAGAGGGAAATTCTAGGACAGCTCAAAAGGAATATATTAATATTTAATTCATCTTCTCCCAATGCAAGAGTCTTTATTTTTAACAAAAACTGTGTAAAATTTAAATGACACTTTAAAATGTGTTTTACAATTGTTTATTTTATTGTTATACACATTAATAAACATTTTAGTTCTTTTTTTCCCCACAATCATAGAAAAAATAACGTAACTAACTGTGTGTAATGTTTTATATACCAAAAATATATTCCGAAAGTTATTTCAGGTTCAATACATTTTTTACTTAGAAAGCAGTAAAAAATAACAATTCCGCTTAATATGTTTGGAGACGTTTCAGGCCCATCCAGAAGCGTCCTTCGGCGAATAAATTGAAATTTTTTTTGCATAGTACCAGAGGAATCTGCGTTTTGGCCGTGGGAATAAATTCAAATTTTGATATCAATCTAAACAGGATGGCTTTAACTTCCAAAATGGCGAACCTAGACCCGATACAAGCTCGCGGTCCCACGCCAAACGGAAAGTAGGTGTACGGAACGATATTGTTTTTATTTTCGTCTGAAAATCTCTCCGGATCGAACTTTTCTGGGTCCGGGAAATATTTCGGGTCTCTTTGCACACTGTACGAGGCCGTCATGATTAAATCGCCCGGGTTAAGATGAACCGGTCGTTCTTCTGGACTGACTGGTTCTATGACGTACGGTTTGGTGCACACCCTGTCTGACAGTGGCGATACTGACCATTTTCTTAGGGTTTCTGGAAAGAAAATTTAAAAATGAATTTTATTGAATCGTTTGTTTCGCTTTTTAATATTTATTTTGCGGGTTAAATCAAAAAATAATTTTTAGTAAATAGTTCAAACTAATTTGACACTATACCGGGTATTCATTAATGGTATCTCAACTAATAATGTTTTTTTTATTTTGTCGTGTCTGCGGATAGGGTCCCAAGGGGAAAAAACCTGTATCACTCATTTTACGACTGAAAGTAATTCTTTATAAAAAGGTGTGTTTGTTGAGAAAATGGTGTTAAAAACTCAGAAAAATATGAAAATGCTTCAAGAGCAAGGTACCATTATTTATTACTTTAATTAATTTACTATTTATTTAAACTGCTGTGTTTAGTGTGAACGTCAGCAACGCAAAAGTTTTTTTGTGTCAAAAGTTATTCATAATTATTCATTCATTAAAAAAATTGTTTAAAAAAATATCTAGTAATAGATATGCTGTAAATATATTATCATTAAGCAAAATATTTTTTATTATTTTTTATTTGTATTTTTTATATTATTTTGTTATTGAAGTATTCATATAGATGTTTGTTTTATTTAAACAAGATTATATGAGTTATGGGAGCATAGCAAATAGAACATTTTTTTATTAGGTATCTCATCGGAAGCTTTGACACACTGACTAACGAAAAATAGGCCTCAAAATTGTCCATTATTATCTTAAACGTATAATTAATACTTTGGATAATATAAGTATATCCAAAGTAATAAAATTAATTCTGAAAGTTTCTAATTCATAATACATTTATTTAAGGTTTCGACCGGTGTATTCCATCTCAAAATTTAAAAATAAAATAAATACAAATAGAAAAAAACAAAAAGCAAAATAAGTTTACGGAAAAAGTAGAAAAAACTAAACGATTTCTTAAGAAGAATAAAAATATAAAAGTACTAATACCTAAAAAATCTAATGAAACGGTTTTAATGAACTCTAAAGATTACAATAAAAAGATGTGCGAACTGCTTGGAGACGAAAATACATACAAGAAAATAAAATCTAACCCAACACAAATTTTTCAAAAAAAGGCAAATGATATTATTTCAAATTCGGAAAAACGACTGTTTATTCCACAAAAAACAGCAAAACAACTAAAAATCAATAACGCATTACCACCAAGAATATACGGACTACAGAAATTGCACAAACCCAATATACCACTAAGGCGAATCGTGTTCTGTTTACAAACAACAATTACAAAGATATGTTAAAAAATGTAATAAACCAAAATAAATTCTATATAAAAGATTCCATGGATTTTAAAGAAAAAATTAAAAACAAAATAATACCGGACGATCACGTTTTAATATCCCTAGATGTAGTGTCGCTATATACAAATGTACCCTTTGAACTCGTCAAGGAGGTATTAACAAAAAAGTGGGACATTATAAGGTTACATACTGACATCCTTTTAGATGAATTTATAAACGCGGTGGACTTTACATTAAAATCAACTTTCTTTCAATATGAAGACACGTTTTATAAACAAATAGAAGGCTGCGCGATGGGAATGGCAATCTCAGGTGGAGTTGCCCAATTAGTTATCGAATTTTTAGAAGAAACTGTTATCAAAAATCTAAATTTTAATTTACCCTTTTATTTACGTTATGTCGATGACTGTATTACTGCGATCCCAAAAAACAAAATCAAATCATTACAAGACTCCTTCAATAAATTTAACCATAAATTACAATTTATAGTCGAAATAAAAGAACAAAACAAAATAAATTTCTTAGATTTGACCTCGCACCGCAGTAAAAATAGTATAAAAACGAGTTGGTATACTAAAGAAAGCAAATCTAGTAGTTACCTACATTTTGAATCGAACCACCCCTTCGCCCAAAAAAAATCTGTTGTAATAGGTCTGGCAGATAGGGCAATTATGCTGTCCGATTTTGAATTTAGAAGGGAAGCGTTAGAAAAAGACAGGCAGGCACTTAAACAAAACTGTTACCCGCAAAATCTAGTAGTAGTAGACAAAATAAAAAAAAAGAATTGATAAATTCTACAACGGTCTTCAATATAACCACAAATTTCAAAACAATAAAACAAAATATATACCGTTACCATACATTGCAGGCCTGTTCGAAAGCATCCAAGAAATATGACGTGAAAATAGGTCATAAGGATCACAATTTGCAAAGGCAATTTTTCTCTAAAATTAAAACAAAAATACCAGATGGAAAAAGAAGTAACATAGTATATGAAATTCCATGTTCGGTTTGCGATGGTGTGTACATTGGATAAACGAGTCAGTGTCTCAAAAATAGAATGAATGGGCACAAATTTGACAAAACCAACAAAACAGCTATTCATACACACTGTAGTGAAACTAAACATGCATTTGATTTTCAAAATGTAAAGATACTGAAAACAGAGCCTAATACTAAAAAAAGAGAACTCTACGAATCGATAGAAGTTCAAGAAACCCAAAAATCCATAAACTTTAAAACCGACACAAAAGGCCTTAGTAAAATTTACCACACAATTCTGATTTAAATATGAAATATAATCTAAAAACTAAATAAATAAGGGTAGCTGGTATAAAATTAAATCTAAAATAAATAACATCGCCCCCGAAAAAAACGTACTTTCGTAGTTCTGCTTCCTATGCCAATTGATATCTCAGTCCGCACGATAGATTCGCAGACACGCGCATGCCAATTTTTATTGTCAATATTTACACCGTTTATATTTCTGTTTTACAATTTTATATCTACAGTTTTATTTCTACAAGTTTAAATCGTGCCGTCGTGTGTTGTATCTAAATGTTTTTATTTCTACATCGATTTCAAAATTAGGGTAAGTTTTATTGTTCTCGCTCTCGATGACTTGTATAAAACACATTTCTCCGAATTTGGTTTGCATTTCATTACAAGTGATTAGTGATATACTCCTAAGCACGATAAAACGAGTTTTTCAACACACCCACTGATATATCAGTCGACAGGTGATCGACATCTACCTGGCCCGTCCTGACTTGTCCCTTACCTATGAATAAATTGCTGGTTCCTAGTCTTACCCGGTAACAATAGTTATGACGGTCGTAATAACTTTTTAGAGGGATGGCCCGTCAAAAGTCCAGACTACATACTTTGAGACATACCATACTATTATGTAAACAAGAAAAGCATAGCCCTCTAACCCTACACGCATTAAAAAGGGTTGAAAATTCACCTACCCGATACTACCATATCCAGATACTTCATTCCGACCAGGTTTTCGTACGTCACTTTCCCGTTGGTATGCTCCAAGACTTCCAAAATTTCTTTTCTCAGTTTGTCTTGAGCGTCGGGGTTGCAGGCCAACTCGTAAAACGCGAAACACATTGTGGTGGACAAAGGATCGAAACCGGCTAAGAAAAATATCATGGCCTGCGAAGTTATATCCTGATCGGTTAGTTCGACGATGCGTTTCGATTTTACTGCAAACAAAAATATAATAGATCGATCTCCATCTGCTCAATAGGTCTGCTCCAATAATTCCTCTCAAATGAAACGCAAAATCATAACAGGGCTAGGGTAAATTACAAAGGGCAATTTTTTAATTTATTTTGTCAATATGTATAATATGATATATACAGTATGTCCACGGAAAGAGTAGAAAAAATGACTAAAGAATGTAATATATTATATGTTCTTTGTTTACATTGTCTTCGAAGGTTTTCATTTTTTAAAGAAACTCCGACATATTGCCTAGTAAAACATGTAAAAACCCTTTCGTACTTAATTCCTTTCATTTCACTGAACAACTAAAAACCATTATGTTAGTTCCAAATGATATTCTGGTTAGTTTCGACGTGGAATCCCTATTCCTGAAACTCTCAATATTATTTCAGATATATTAAAATCAGAGAATCTGAGGCCAAACCTTCCCATCTTAATTAAAAATTGAACTTAGGTGGCTTTTACTTGATGAAAATCCATTTAACAAAATAAATAAGAACTGAAAGTTCAGATTTTCACGAAATTATCTTTATCAACTGTAGTATTTACAAACTACCTGCTACTATATATACCGAAAAATGATAATAAAACCATAATTAATGTTGTTGTGAGAATTTAAGTTCAATAAAGGAGAGGTATTTAAATCTAATTGATCGTTAAGAAATACATTTGAATATCTCTTTTTGTTAATCTCATGGCTTCCAATAAATTTAATTTTCTATTTTTTGTGTCTGTATGTAATATATCAAAATTGTCGTCAAAAATGTGTTTTTCTGTGTGTAGCATAATTAGAATATAGAATATTAGAATATAGTTTTCAAACGCTCTTTTATGTTCGTTAATGCGTTTCTTGAAGGATCCACCTGTTTGTCCAATAAAAATTTTAGGACAAGATCTCCATTTCAACCTGTAAACACCTGATTTTTGAGATTTTGGACATTTCGTTTTATTGTTAAAAACAAAATTCCTATTGTGTTGTTAGTTCTGAAAGCTATTTTTAAACCACATTTTGACAAATGTTTTGAAACTTTTTCACTGGGTTCCCCTATGTATGTAATTGTTTTAAATTGTTCGTGTTCTGTATATGGTTTCGGATAAATAGAGTTTATTGTTGTCTGGATTTGTTTTTCATTTATGATTTAATCTATAATGGACGGATTGTAGCCGCTGTTCAGTGCAATTTGTTTAATGATATTAAGTTCTTTGTTGTAATTTTCTGTTAAGAGTGGCGTATTAAGAAGTCTGTGTATAAAAGAGTGAAATGCAGCCATTTTGTGTGTATAAGGGTGATTTGAGCTGTTATTTATGACGGTGTTCGTGTGTGCCACTTTCAAGAACACACTGAAGAACAACAATCAGTTTCCGGATATATCAGCGACCTAGTTAGTTTATGTTTAAGTTCCTAACTAAGTGCATATATGACAGTATTCTATGACTTTATTAATTTATTAAGGGTGTAGCTTTTGAAACAAAAACATCATCTATTAGAAATGAAAAATAAATAAACAGGGGAACGTCTGAGCTTGTTTCCTTCAAGGAAGAAAATAATGCATCCCTGATGAAAGAGCCCTGAATCTAGAGCCTATGTTTCAGACAATTGAATACCCAAATAAGCAAGAAGAAGAAGAAGAGCAAGAAAGCCTTACTGTATACCGTTTCTGTAAAAGATTTAATTTGACTGGCCATATTTTTTTCAAAATTTTAGAGAACGATCGTAACATGCACAAGGGCCTTTAATCTGAGACAAAATCTGTATGGTTTACCTTTGGAGTAGGAACAACATAGATAATTTTCCAAATCACATGGAAATTTTCGGGATATTACCAGACGGGTTTGGGAGCAATCGGATGTTTTCGGAGATTTGACCGTACGGCTTGAATTTTGAAGTTTGTCAATTATGATGATCATGTCAGTGAATGTATTCGCTCCGCTAGTGCCAAATAAACTCATGACTCAACTGGCGTTTACCACAATTGTTGCATAATATACTATTACCATATTTCAAACACTATGGAATAACACCCACGACATTAGATTTTAAAGATTTTACTGCCTACAGTATATCCTCATCTGTAACCTCAGAAACTAAAATACTCATATAAATCTTTGTTTTTTGCTGAGGAATTGCCTGCTCTTAGAAAGAAATCATTAATTAGTTCTTGAATTGATTTAGTATTTGAAGAAACGACCCATTTCTGCGAAGTGTTTCCATAGTTTTGTCGGATAACCTTTGCTTATATCTAAAATATAAATGAGTTCTTACGTTTCTCTACTAATTCATCGCTATAATCGTCCATGTTCGTTGCATTTCGATTCATATACTTGTTACTTAGCCCTTTTCGAGCCTCTAGAAGTATGTTTATCATATCGGGACGTACAATATTTTGCTCCTCGCGTGCTTTGATAGTGTCGCCGACGATCGTGTTATAAAAATTGCGTATCTTCCTGTTGAAGAACGGTATTTTAAACGCCTGAAAAGGAAACACATTTTGTCCCGAAAACAGAACGGAAGTTGTTGGCTTCTCTTACTTCAAAGAACCACGGCACAAGCAAATAACCGAGGAATTTCAGATTGATGATGATTCCAGTTAAATCGGTGGCCTCTTTTCCGTGAAGATAAAATTCGTTTTGCGGATTGGTCAGGGAATCGACCTTAATTCCGAATGCTGTTGTTGCGATCACGTCATTGGCTAGTCTAAAAGAAAGGTCAACAGTATCATTAAACACCATTGTGTCAGTCTTGATATCTTTAAACGGATGATTACTGCCCTTTGATAAATAGTAGAAGGAAAAATTTAAGGACCCAAAAATAAAATAAAAATTTCAATATAAAAATATAGCATATTTTCGATTCAAAGTGCTAGACGAGATAACAAGCCAGAAGACGATGACGATGATCAAGGCACGAAAAAGGCTAACCCAGAATCTTTCGTGGGTTAGATAAAAACATTTTCCATTACTAGACCAAGCAATTTCTTAATAAATCATTTGCCAAATTTAAGGGAGACCTACTAAAGAGAAGTTCAATGATGGACCCCTGTCTAATGGGAGTCGAAAAAGATACTACATCCACACCACAGCGTCGCTACGTTATATACATGGTAACTCAGTACTGTAGGATTTTCTTATAATTCCGTAAGAGCTGACTCATGGAATCGAATCAGCTGCCTCTCAGTATCTATTTTTCACATTTTGAATGTTATTTCATTTTTAAATTTGACTCCTGGCAATCTTCTGTCTGCTAAACGGAAATGTATGCCTTTCCTATTTTCAATGGTGTTTTATAATTTCAAATTCGGACTAAAATCCCAAATGCCCCCAATCCCAAATATTTTGAAAAACTTTGACAATTTTCTGGATTTCATTTACGTCAAAGGTATTAAGGGACTCCGGAAATGACCAACCAGATCACCCAATTTCTGGCCTTGATTTTTTTAAATCACTTGCAGCATAAAAAACTAATGTAGGAGAGGGTGGGGCAAGCTTTTTATTATTTTTTGTGGCTTTTAACCATCGAGTCGATTTATTTTTGACTAACTTTAACTAAATTTACCCAAATTTTGACGAAGCTTCTGGTCGTTGTGCACCACTGTCCAATATTTAAAATGTTATATATAATAATCATAATTATTTATTAAAAAGTATTTAATAAGAAAAAAGTTACTGATTAGTAACTCTTTTTCTATCGATTAAAAAATTTGTTATTGATATTTACAAGATTTTCAAAAGTTCTGGCTTTAGGCTAAATCGATGGAATTATCCAAAAACACTTTCAAAAAATTAATTATGATTCGGTAATAATAATATGGAATAGCTTGTTTTAGAATTTTTAAGCTATCCATTTTACCCCTGGTATTACGCAAAAAGTTAAAAATGTACAAATAACCAGAACTTATAATTATTAGAAGAAAAAAATGAAAAAAAAAATTCTTGCCCCAGGGGGACCACTTTGCCCCACCCTCCCCTACTCTTTCTAGATCTGTACAAACTAGAGAGGAATTCGTTACGCGAAGAATACTAGTCTAGAATTGTAGAAATGTCCTAAAGAAGCAATTGTTTTCATGGTTTCGTTTACATTTCATTGAATATTACGCTCTAAAGTCAATTGTTCTGTTTCTGTTCGCCAAAATTCTGGACCAGGCTATTGTCGATTAACGCAGAACCATAAAATAACATATAGGGAGAAATATTTAAAAAAGCAAAATTCTTGAAAATAATAGTCATCCGAATTTGGACACCCTGTATGCAATGCAAATTAGTTTTCAAATTTTTAATTGCAGTTTTTAAAAGCCAGGCATTAAAATTACATCTTTCAAAATTTACGACTCCAAATCCTAGAGCGTCGTATCAGTTGATCTTGGTGGTCAGTTTTACAGTTCTTTAACTCCTTTGACGTAAATAAAATCAAAAACATGGCAAACTTTGTGAAAATCTAGATTACGTGGAAGGAACTTTGTGTTTTGATTGACTTTTGATAGAAAAATACGAAATAACTCAAAAATAGGGGGACATCATACAATAAAATACAGGAAACGAAATTATGAAATTTTGTAGTTTTAAACATGATGTAATTTATTGGATCTTTAAAAATGTTCAAGTCTGTCAATATACCTAAAGAAATACTGAAATTCGGCATAGCATAGAAACCTAAACCTCTCGGAAATCCAAAAACTGTTCCATTTAAAATAAAGAAGGTTGATTCTGTGGAAGAAGTGCAGGATGTTCTGTATAGTACAAACAACTTTTGATTATTATAATTTAACTCAAATAATCTCCTTATAGATATGAAAGAATCCCGCAGTAACAAAAGTGACGATAAAGTTCTATAAAGATAGAGAGAGTGGCAATCGAGTCTTATTTTCGCAGTGAGGTAAAGCGAAAATCTAACTCTACCAACTGTAATCTGTAACGCCTAATCACCATGTTATAGGCAAAAGGATAATCTGCCCTTTATTCTGATGATAAAATTTGACCAAAATTATACCTCGTGAACACATCCTTCATTTCCACTTCTATGAAGTCTTCGTTTTTCTCGACGAAATGATTAGTGAAATCATCGACTGCGTCTAACATCAAACTAAACATGTACTTCATTTTGCTGCTGGTGAACGACGCGGACAGGATATTCCTCATGTTTTTCCATTTTTGACCTCAAAAACGCCGAATTTTAATTCTGTGGCAAATTAATTAAGGTGAGCTATTTTCACCTCTCAAAGCAAATAGGTTTTTCGACCAGAGAGGATCTGATTGATCGGAAAACAAGGGCTGATGATCCATAAAGGAATCGAAATCCTTAACCATGATCTGCTTTAACAATTCCGGATCTCTAATGACCAGAGTGGGTTTATTAAATTGATAGCATCCGACGTACCTGAAACGAAGCTAGTGATTGACGGAATGGAGAAAATCAAAAAGTTGAATAGACTGGTAACTAGTAAAATCATAAAATTTGAGAGAATAATGCTACAAAAAACATAAAATTCCAAGTCGACAAATATTTTAGCTTTCTATTAGAATTCGATATTAAAATATGGTAAATGTTGATTTTGGATTGAAGAGCATATACGATAAATTTATACTGTAAACTACACATCGAATTTCTTTTTCAGTTGTAATTAGTCTGGTCAAAATAAATCTTCAAATTATAAAAATTTCGGCAGAGCTGGATTTTAGTGGAGATCTTGGCTACACCAATACGCAAAAATTCAAAATCATAGGACAAAATTTTCTGGTTTTCCGATTTTTCACGTGAACGAAAAAATGCTTTTTTTTGCAAACAAGATATTTCATTCATTTTTTCAAAGGTTTTCCCCGTTTTACTACTTAAATACTATAATAATTAATTAGTGGCCCAGTTAGTAATTATGAGTAGAAGAAAAAACCGAAAATTTGATTTCGAATAGTGGAGCACATAAGATTACTGAGCACTTTTGACAGTTTATTTTACTGGTGTACTCAAGATCTCCAACAAAATTCAGCTGTCGGTATGTTTATTATTAGATTACTAATTTTATATCAAATTTGGAAATGGAAAATTAATTTCGTACAAAAATAAATAAACAAATAATAATTATAGTGGCTAAGTAATAACTGTTTACATACTATTTACTATCACACACTATTAAGAATTTATACAATATTATTAATATTTCCGCGTTCCCGGTTTCCATTTTTGCCTGGCTCGTTCTAGGAGCCGTGTGGCACCTTTCGTGGTGGGTGTCAAATATTTCAATCGTCTTCCTTCTCTCTGCCCTATTTAATTATCCTCATTAACAAGTGTTTTTTAAGTTTTATGAATGGAATCTTAATTCTGAAGTTTATAAATCGTTTTCTGAAAAAAAATACGACGAATGCATAACCATCAGAATTGAAAAACGACGAACTGTTTTAAAGATAAATCGAGTAAAAATCAATATATACTATATAAATTACTTAATTAAGCACGAATCACTTTAAGACGTGCATTAGTCATGGGTTTGGAAGCAATCGGATATTTTCGTTAAATTTTTGCGATTGATGAGTGGTTTTATAAACATCTATAAAACAACTACTTTTTCTACCGAAACAAGATAAATATAATCACCAGCAGTTAGAAATTAGAAAATATGATAAATTGGATAGTGTCAATATCATTTTCATATTTTTCGGTTGTACGCACGTGCCTTTAAATATGATTGCAAAACTCGTATGATTAGGATGACAAGTTTGTAGATACTCTTCTATTGTAAATAATTACATATAAATTTTATAATGTTTAAATATGTGATGGTTGATGCATTTCCATCGAAGAGTGTTATTAATAAGATATTTCACAGCACTAGAAAAAAATAAAGCGTTTAATGAATCCATTTCTCCATTGCCAATTCTGTATCTCTGTATAAATAATTTTTTCTACTCCCTTCTGTAAAATACCTAGTTATACACCGATCTAGCGTGCGGAAAATGTCATTAGATGGTGTCAGTTTCGTGTCCCACGTATCCGAGTCACTTCGGTCATTTCCGGGATATTACCGCATTAGCAATAGGATGTTTTCGGAGATTTTACAGCACGGTTTAAATTTTGATTAAACACTCACTCCGCTCGTGCAAAATAAATTCGTCACTTAAATGCCGGTTACCGCATTTAATATACTATTAACCATTTCAATTCACCTGGCTATTAATATTTTGTGATTTAAAATATCTTGGGATTAAAAAAAAAACAAATTTATTATTGCCGCAACCTGATAGAGAATTAGACACTCATACGCGTTAGCACATTTAATTAAAAGAAATTCATTGACTTTACAACATTGAACTTTATCTCCGTTCAATACAAATGATACAAATGATACATCACGTCAAGAAGGTGGGGAATAGTATATTCTGCAACAACTGCGCTGCACGGCATTTGAGTCACGAATTTATGTGGCACGAGCGGAGCGAGTGCTTAATAAACGAGTGCGATAAAGAGTTTTTCTACTCCCGTCTGTAAAATACCTAATTACCCACCTGATGTAGCGTGCGGGAAGCGTCACTTTACCACGTCAGTTTCGTTTCCCATAGATCCGAGCCACTTCGGACATTTCCAGGATTTTAGAGCACGGATTTACGAGCAAGATATTTACTATGCTTTGAATTTTGACGTTTGTCAATTCTGACGGTCACCTCAGTGAATGTATTCGTTCGGTAATAGTATATTATGCAACAAGTGCGGTAAACGGCATTTGACTCAGGAGTTTATTTGACACGAGCGGAGCGAGTGTTTAATAAACGAGTGAGTTAAAAAGTTTACCGAACGTGTTGCACACTATACTTTTTCAACGACCGTTAGTTTTTGGGTACATTTTCGTAAAACGACACGAATACATTCACTGACATGACCGTCACAATTGACAAACGTCAAAATTCAATGCGTGGGAAATATATCCGAAAACATTCGATTGCTCCCAAATCCGTGCGGTAAAATCCCGAAAATGTCCGAAGTGGCTCGGATTCGTGGAAAAGGAAACTGACGAGGTAAAGTGACGCTTCCCTCACGCTAGATCGGTGGGGAATTAGGTGTTTTACAGAGGGGAGTAGAAAAACTTTTTAACTCACTCGTTTTAAAAACTCGTGAGTCAAATGCCGTTTACCGCACTTGTTGCATAATATACTAGTACCGAACGTGTTGCATACTATACTTTTTCTACGACCGTCACGAAAAATTATAATTTAACAAATTAAAAATAATAACAGATTATGGAATTACTAAATTTCGAATCATTCAAAAAACATAATTCAGTTCTGCTATTGTTGTCTCTTGTTAACTGTGTACGTTAGGCAGAGAGAGATGTATTATTGGATATATCATATAGACAACGGAATAATCACTATTTTAAAACTTTATTTTGTTTATTTAATTTTCTCAATTGATCATTGAGTAGCTTATTTAAAGAAAAAAACTGTAATTGGAAGAAAAATCCATCGTCCAAGGAGAGAGCTTTTAAGAGGATTAAATTTTTAAGATCGCATAAGCATGAAAAAGCAGGTCCTAACCTTAAATTTTGTTTAGTTTTTTATGCAACGTGAACTATAAATGTCACTTTACTTACCGACTAGTCCACTAGATTTTAGTTGTAGTTTATAGCACGTAGTACTATTTAAATTGTCTGATATATTGCATAACATTTTTCTGTGTATTAGTTTTTGGTTGGTTAGTTTTGGTTAGTTTCACTGGCATGACCGTCAGAATTGACAAACGTCAAAATTCTAACCGTGCTGTAAAATCTCCTTTTTCTACTCCCGTCTCTAAAATACCTAATTACTCACCGTTTTAGCGAGCGGGAAGAGTCACTTTACCACGTCAGTTTCGTTTCTCACGATTCCGAGCCACTTCGGACATTTCCGGGATTTTACCGCACGGGTTTGGGAGCAATCGGATGTTTTCGGAGAAAATACCCACGCTTTGAATTTTAACATTTGTCAATTGTGACTGTCATGTCAGTGAATGTATTCGTGTTGTTTTGCGAAAATGTACCCAAAAACTAAAGGTCGTAGAAAAAATAGTTTCTGAATAAACAGTGAGAATCTACGAAAAACGAAAAAGTCAGAATTCGAGATTCCTAACATAAGTCCCTCGTAAGGGATAATGCGAATCAAAGCATTAGATATTTATAAAGAAAAGCCCATCTCAAGATTGGAGTTGACACAAAAATATAAAATTAATTAAGTCAAAAATCGGCAGAGTTAGACGGCTTAAACTAGAGTCAAATAAAAATGAAAAATTTAAGATTTTTATTTATCTAAATCATACTGCGAAACTAGCGCCCTATAGTAACAATCTCCAACTCCAATTTTTTAAAAATTATAACATAAAAACTTTAATTAATGAAAACATTCAGAATATAATTTAAACTTTGTACGCCTTCTATTTCCTAAAACAGTGGCGTTTGTATGAGGCATGTTGAGCTCATTTTTAATTTAACTCAGAATTTCTGACTGATTTTCTAAAAATTCTAACTTATTTTTTAGAAATTCTGTTATATAAAAAGAAACAGAATCTGACGTGGGAATTTTCCCTGCAAAGTTATATCCAAATTCAATATCAGGTGCCTAAAACGGCAAACCCAGTTGTTCCTTAATACATATTCGAACACAGAAACATTATCTTGATCTTATCTTGTAATTTAGTTGGAGGTATTGGAACAAATCACACGTCAGTAAGATCCAACTTCAATATTAGGTGCCTGATATTGTGCCTAAAACAGCAAAACCAGTTGTTTCTTTTTATTATATTTAAACAGAGAAAATTTATCTTAACCACAATAATTTAATAGTTGGAATTGAAATACATTACGCGTCAATACCGTCTTAGAACGGAACGTCGAGAAATGGAAATTATAAAACAAAAAGTTTTAGTGGCAAGACGTACCTGGCATCCGGATACATTTTGTAGACATAATCTCCCCATTCGGCAAAGGATATTGTCCTGAAAGATGTGCTAACCAAATCACCGAAAAATATCCAGGGATTGGTTTGTTTTACGCCCCTGTCCGACCAATATTTCAAAGGTTTAACATAAAATTGCCAAACTGCAACCACAGCAGTTAGGACGACGAGGAGTATCCAAATCATTTTTTATCTGACAAAAATAAACAATAAAATATAAGAATATTTATAACATAATATAATTCGGTGGTTAATTATATCAAAATTTAGCTAATAACTATGTTTTAGTTAACTCTTATTTTGGCGTAAGATATTTTCGAGGTTGTCATAATTCCTTAGCAATTATGGTTGTAAAGTAGCGTTGTAGATTTGCTAAATAGAAAACAGCTTGCTAAATTGCACTTAATTGCCAAAGTAATTACCTGCGTACTGGGTTCACTTCTGAAATTGTTTAAATCGTTTTCAACTTTTAGAGCTTAGCAAATTTAGACGTAGTGTTGCATTTAATGATGGATAAGTTATAAATTGTCCAATTTATCAATAAAAGACACAAACAACATGCAATACAGGGACGGAGTAGTTAAAATACAATGCACGTAATGCATCTTAGTCTTGAAGGTCAACTTATTTTAAATGTTGATGAAGACCTACGCAAAATATTTTAACAATTTATTATGTCTGCGATATGTAAACAAAAAATAAGTTAAATAAGTATCGCCGACAGACAATTCCTGCGTACTGTGAAGTATATATTATGATTTTATTGTAAATAGTGATAAAAATGATAACATTTATTTTTTTGCTGCCGTCAAACATGACTCATGGTTCAATATGGCATTGGTTAAGCTAGATTAGTTTATCATGTTTTTGATCGGATAACAAATCATGAGACCAGACTGGAATTTTCGGAAAACCTGCATTATATGCGTTTTGGGGAACTTGAATATCCATAGATAAGAAAATATGAAATTATTGAGGCATGTGGAATAAGATACTCATACATTTTTAACGTTTACTTTTAAAGTTTAAATAGTATCTAAAATGTGCCACATTTTAACAATTCATAGACTTTTGGCCAGGTATCAATTTATTTCTGAAATTATCGTCAAAAACCTTTATTTTCAAGGCTGTTTTATTTTTTTTAATTTTACTACATACGGAATAGCTTAAAAATAATCTAATTATTACAGTAATACGCTAAGAATTAATTAAATAAGTTTTTCTTATCTTGTGACAATGCCCTCACAGCAAATTAAAATTTTAATGTAAAAATGTCGTATCCACACTTAATGACGATTTGTCAGCGGCTATATTGGTTGTAGAATGCCGCAAGGTTATTGGTTAAGAACGAGATTTTAAAGTTCGTATATTATCAGCATAGGTAGGGTCTCTATATCTCGAGTAACTATATGAGGCAAACAGTTCAGGCTACTTTAGATTACCATCAACTTTATCACAAGTGGGAGAAGCCGAAAATAATCTAAATGGGATTTTTCAGGTGACAGGGCTTTTAACACTAAAGAATAATAAATTATTTGTTAGAAAAATGAACATGTCAAAGAGTCAAAAGTCATTGTAAAGAGTGAAACACACAAACTTTCTAAAAACATTAATCTATTTAGAAATCAAACTGAAACAATTCATGTAATGTCAGAATGAAGCAAAAATCAGCAGTCGATTCTTATTTTTTTGTCCGATATCTAATAAAATTAATTGATAATAGAACACGAGGGTGGGGTGAAAAGTTTCCATCTTGACCAGGAAAAACTATGTTTTTAATTTTTTTTCTTTTTGCGTTATTTTTCAACATAATCTCCATTAACATTGATAGATTTGTCATAACGGTGATATTGTTTTACTGTTGGGATAACTTCTTCGTTGCTTTTAAATCTTTTACCGTCAAGCTATTGTTTGAGGTTAGGAAACAGGTAAAGCCTGGAGATTAGGTAGGTTGCAAATTCTCACTACTCTACAGGGACAGTTTTGTCTTGAAACCGACATTTGACAAAATGGGGGCATTGTATCCGCCATCCTTGTTCTACTACGAGTAATATTAAAGTGTTCAGAACTATAATGATAACTCGAGATTAGGAAATATTTATTAAATGATAAATTTTAGTAGTTTATTTTGAACCCTTTTCAAACGATCTCTCTCTCTCTCTCTCTCTCTCTGTACTCCGAACCACAGTACCAAATAGTAGCCTTAATATTAATACAGTGTTCGAAGAGTTTTCGGAGCGCGGGCATTGAAGATGTCAAGTGAGATCTTGGCGAAACGTCTGCAGGATTCTAGTCGTTAGTACAAAAAACTAACTGCATCTGAGCAAACAATTAATATGCATGTTAAGTATTAGTTTGGACTAAATAATAATTCTTATTTGCCTAATATGATCTACTTTTGGTTAGTTTATTATAATAATTAATATTACTATTATTCTTTTTATCAAAAAAATACTACTGAATTATATCTTGTGGAGGAAATAGTTTGGCATTTATTTTATTATTATTGTTATTATTGATTGTTCTTATGAACATTGATTCTGATTATTATGGTTAAAAAAGGTCTTCAACATTTAAAACCAATCATTTCTGATATGGTTTTAGTTTGTAATGGATTCGTTTGAATTACCTCTATAAAGCTCCAAATTGTCGGTAGAAATGTTTTTTCGAATCAGTTTTTGGTTGATCGTTCGCAAACGCGATACCCATCTTGCACACAGCTTTTCCATGCTCAAATGGTTGTGCAAAATATTTCGCACACATTCAGCTGACATCCTAGGTCTTAGCTATCCCATGCACTTTCAACCTTCTAACACTATGCGATGGATTTTCTCAATCATCAAGTTGTCACCTCAACGGACCGTATTGAGCGAGGCTCGTCAGAAGTACTCACGCGACCCATTTTAACTTCAGAAACCCATTGCTTAATAGTTGAATATGATGGGGAGGAGTCTCAGAGTGTTGAATCTATCTCTTCTTTAATTTGTTTTGGTGTAAAATCTTTCAAATAGAAGTATTTGATGGCAGTACGTTTTTAAAATTTTTCCGTTTTGACGAAAATAACGGAAGCGGCTCGAACGCAAAATAACGTAGCGATTAGGCTGAAACTGTACATACAAGTTTGGTAGGAATGGTACTCTAGGACGCCGGTCCAACAGTAGAGCTAGTGGCTCCGCCTCTTGGCCAGGTCAAAAACTTTTCATCCCACCCTCGTATTATGCAACATGTGTGGTAAACGGTATTTGAGTTACGAGCTTATTTGGCACGAGCGGAGCGAGTGTTAATAAACTGGTGACTTAAAAAGTTTACCAAACGTGTTGCATCCTATACTTTTTCTATGACCGTTAGTTTTTGGTTACATTTTTGCAAAACAATACCATTACATTCCCTGACATGACTTTTAGAATTGACAAACGTGAAAATTCAAGCGTGTGGTAAAATCTCCGAAAACATCCGACTGCTCCCACACCCGTGCGGTAATATCTCGGAAATATTCGAAGTGGCTTGGATCCATAGGACAACAAATTCACATAGTAAAGTGACCCTTCCGCACGCTAGATCGGTGTATAATTACGTATTTTACAGAAGGAAGTAGAAAAATGAATTTTATTGTTGATTCTATTGTTTTCTGTTTCAGAAAGTTATAAATAACAATTATATGTTTTATGAATGGAGAATATCAAGCTCTCAAATCATTTTTGAGACCTCGGAATCGGAGTGTAATTGAATCTTTATGTCAAATGCTGAACAGTATTTCTTATCCGGGATATGTGCTTAATTATTATTAAGCTATCGATCTAAAATTTTTAAGTTTTTACTTTTTTTGCGTTGCTGCCGAAATCTATCAACGTGTTGCATATTATACTTTTTCTGCGACCGAATTGGTTACATTTTTTCAAAACAATATTTACTTCATCGTCAGAACTGACGTTATATTGATGTTAAAATACCATCAGAGGGAGTAGGGACTGTCGCAAAGGCAATACGATATACTTTGAGATACACTATATCTGAGGTTCTTAACCAAAGGAGCCAATGGCTGCTGTTTGTTTGAACAATACATCTTTAAATAGACTAGATTGTTGTTCGCCAAAGCACGGTCTACTTAATTGAGATATCCTCGTTTGTATTTTATTGCACCAACTACCATTAGAAACCCCGTTTGAAATACAGCAAACTATTCACGCCAACTTTTATGAAGTTGGTATAATTTTAAGAGTTGTCACTTCGGAGCCTTTTTAAGCGTTTTGAAAAGTTCACAATTATTTCAATATTAGGCTAAATCGCGTTTTATTGAAGACAATACATTCAGTTAAATGCCTTATGATTTTAGTTCTAGATCCGGACGATCTTCAGAGCTAAAACCAAGAACACATTAATAAATACCTTTACCTGTTATTGTTAAAATACAATAAACATTTTGATTGACGCAGTGTTTTTTTTTATTGTTTATTTGGTGAACAACTGGGATACTACTGCAGGATTCCAGTCAGAGTTCAACGAACTAACTGCATCTGAGCAAACTATCAATATACATGCCAAGTATTGGTTTGGAATAAATAATAATTCCCTGATGGGATTGATTAGTTTGTTATAATAATTAATATTATCATTAATCTTGTAATCAAAAAATTCTATTTATGTCTTGTAGAGGAAATAGTTTGGCATTTGGAATATGTAGAAGAGAACCTATTATGAAAATTGATTCCGATTATGCTTCAACATTTAAAACCAATCATTTCTGATATGGTTTTAGTTTGTAATTGCCCCTAGGTATATTTTTTCCTAGTTTTTGGTAATTATTGTTATTGCATAAATTTGTTTGATTTGATATATATTTTTTAACTTCTGGAACTGTTTAATTGTTTTATTGTAAATTAAACTCGTAAGATAGCTGAAGAAGTTACCGCCGAAACTGAATATGCTTGTATAAAAAAGCCTTAACTTTTCATTATTTAAGACGAAGTATTGCAACTAATATCCTTTATGCCAAAAAACATGAAACTATTCAGCTCAGTACGATACATTAAGAATTACTCTTATATTGTAACACTGCAGTTGTTTGCTGGGTAAGAAATCTCTTATCTCTTCAATTATAGTGTGATTTTCTGATGGTCTTTCAATTGTTTGCTGCTGTTATATTCTGGTGCCAACCGAAGGGCATCCAGTTTTCGAACCAATTTGCAGAAGACAAGTTTGGGAGGTTAAATAGGCTCTTAATACAAACCTGTCGACGTGTTCACAGATTTTGGACGTTTATCTGATGTGTAATTCTACTTTGTGTTGTTTATATATCCGAGGAGACTCGCTTATTTGTAAATGCGTGCAGTGCGCAGTTATTAACGGATGTACTTTTCATCAAGGTTACCGATATAATGATATGAAATTTGTACATTATTAGTCCGTGGTTTGATATAAAAAAATTGTGTGTACGTAGAGTGCGTGTAAGTACCATATAGTATTTTTCTTACAGTTTATTTAAATGTTTAAATATAATATTAAACATTTAATTATGTTTGTATGTATGGCCTGCGGAACAAAATTTATTACCAAAGAGGTCACAAAATAAATATTTTACTCAATCTGCTAAAATGAATTGGCGGGAGAGTGTTTTATGTACACGTTAGATTTTATAAAAAATAATAATATTCATGTGACACTAAACGCTAGGCGGTTGTTTCACAACCTAAAAAAGAGGAATAAAATCTTTACAAGTCGGTGAAAACCGCGTCTTATTCAATTCTCCTTTTTCAAACCAAAGATATTTGCAAAAAGAATAATAGGTATGAATATTTGAGGGCAATACACACTCCTTATCGTTCATCACCATAGAATAGAAAACTAAAATGGGAAAAATCAAATAGGAGTGTTGCTATTCAATTTCTATTCCTACTTACTTATTAAGTATGACTGAACTCATGTTCATCATCTGAGAAGCTTTCGTATCCTATACTTTTTATGGATTCTTTGCAATTGAATGTTATTCTGTTGAAAACCAATCGAATTTAATTCGCTGAAATAATATTGGAGAACGGAAGCAGTGGATTGACCTTTTATTTACTGCTTATTTTAGAATGGATGATTATAATTTATTATCATTGACTAAAGTAATCTGAAAGAGAAGAACAAATGGCAGGGAAATTTCCGCATTTATTGAGATATTTTAGTTTAGACTGAGACCTGCAATATATTTTGCCAACCTGAGTTACGGTTTGATTATTTTACGATAGCAACACATTTAAGCACACTACCCACTTATTTACTTAATAAAAAAAAACAGAATTTAGACAAAATTTCTGGTTTACTTATTGGCCAAGAATATTTGTTTTGTGTCCAGGAATTCGATTGTCGGTTAAACAGAACGCGAATTAGAAAGAGCAGAAAGTGCGTTCTGGAGTGATTATATTTTATCGGGGTCAAGGATAATGATGGGCCGGCTACGACAGTATAATATTTGGCAAGCGTTTAGTCCTGCGTCCTGCAAAAGCAATTGCAAGAGTTACTGCATTGCCTAGCTGCATTCCAATTTTATCGAAATGATACTTGCAACTGACAAACGCTATTAAGACAATAAACATTTTCATCGCTTTGACTTTTAAAGGATTGAGTACTTTAAAAATCACTTCATTTCCACTCATCTCAATTATTCTTTAATAAACGATATGGCATTGTGATATTCTGTTATTATTGTCAATATCAAAGTAAATGAATTGCTTCTCTCTCATATTTTCCTAGAATGGTTATAATCAAGAGCTGTTTTAAGTCATTAATATTTTTGCAAAAGTCTTTCGTTTGAAAATAGATATCATCTTAAGCTTTTATTCCTTAATATTAAGTAAATTTCCATGTAAATTTTTTGAAAAAATGTTTGTTAAGCTGTAAAACTTTAGTTCTCATTTGCATATTATTATGATTCCTATAACCCAATCCGGAATTTCCCATTTTTAAATATATTTCTAGTTTTACTTATCTAGTAAGCTAAATTAAATTTAAAAATGATGTTTATCATATGTTAGGTTAGATGTCACGGTCTTTTTTCTATATCTCCCTTTTTGGGAGATCGTTTTCACATATATATACGCGATATATAACAGTGTTCGTAACAATGGCAAATCTAGAAATGTAATTTCATTTAAATGAAATTATAAACGACAAATTATGCTGAAGATTAATGGTGTTATTGCATATCAGATAACATATTGTGTCTTTTGCTAAGTGAGCAACATTTAGGATTAAATTGATTGCAATCACTTGGCATCTACGGTGGGAAATACCTCTTCTTCAGGCAAAAATTTGCTTATTTGCAACAGAAGCTGCGCCGTCTAGCGGTCGTTTTAGGAATTCAGAGCAATTTCTCATGGTTTATTTGGTCACTTTTTTCCGCACGCCGTACTTCTTGAGGTACTGCCGTGAGGTAACGGGACACCCGGTATATATGTTATTTTTTTAGGTTCGCGTTTTCCCATCATGATAACCATAATATTAACTGGCGTTGCGCTCAGCTTTCTCTTCTGGTATTTTTTGGTTAAACCATTACATTATTGGAGAGATCTGGGCGTAAAACAAAGCAAACCGTGGGTGCTTTTTGGTGACAATTGGGTCACCGTCTTTAGACTAAAAAGTTTCGATGAAATGCTAGTGTGGCTTTATAACATGTATCCTAACGAACGGTATGCTTCCCGTAAATTTATTTTTTGTTTTAATTTATTCTGAACTTAAAAATTCGCTGGCAATTATTGCAAATTTAAGTGTTACTTTCTATTGGAAATTGAATTGGCTCAATTAAACATCACTAAAGCTTAATCATTCAATAGGTAATAATAAAAGTTGTACACATATTTAGTAACTAACAATTTAGTAACATCTTTTATCAATACTGTAGAACATTTCGAGCGTTGTGGTTTACATATTTCATTAATATCAAAAATATGTCCGTTATTTTTGTAAGAGTTCTGACATTTCCAGATATTTTGGTATATACCAGTTTTATCTGCCAGCGTTACTCATTAGAGACCCAGAGCTTATCAAACAATTGACTGTCAAAGATTTCGATCATTTTACCGATCACAGAGGTTTTATTGATCCCGAATCCGATCCGTTATGGGGCAAAAACCTTGTAGCTTTGAAAGGTGTGTGTTTGACTCTTATTCTTGCGATGAAAGGGTGAAATTTAAATTGAGAAATTTCAGGACAAAAATGGAAAGATATGAGAGCCACTCTGTCCGCCTCTTTTACGAGCAGCAAGATGAAATTCATGTTTCATTTGATAGACGAAACGTGTGAAAATTTTGTCCACTTTTTTGACACAAAAAAAGAAGACCTTATCGAACTTGATGTAAAGGAAACTTTCACCAGGTACCTACATAAATAATAAATTGGAGAAATTTACAATGCATCTCAAGTTTAATAAATATGATTAAATAACTAAATTGAAAATGTTGTGTTGCGACAATTTACTTCTTATTATTTGATAATTATTTTGGAGATTCGATTAGGTTTATTTCATTCATATGTCGATATTTATCAGCGTTTTTGAGGATTTTTATGTAATTTGTTTTTTATTGCATGTGCATTCCAATAAAAAAGAGAATGGTTTAAAAATTTTTCTACATAATTTTTAGTACATTATCTTTATAAAATGCACAAAATTCGACGACACTAGAATTTTCGCCCAGTGTGATGTTTTATCATTTTTTTATTATTCATCCGATTTTTTTTGTTCAGTTTGTAGATCCATTTATTGTGGTTTTCTTTAATTATTTTAAAAAGTACTGTTGTTTTTGTTATAACCTTAAAAAAGGAGTACGAAAATTGAGGTGAATAATTATATTTACATATTGGTTTTTGTAATCATTCGTTCCATTATCTCATTTGATTTTAATAAAAATATTTTTTAATGTCATGTTCAACTTTCAATAGATGTCTCTAATTTATTTAAATTAATGGGAATAATTACATAAAAAATATTTCTATTTTATATACGTAACGTACGTGACATTTCCCACGCGAAACAAAATTTATATTAATAATTAATATAATGTCCTCAATGTGAAATATTAACTTTTTTAAAACTTATTATGAGAAACTAACCACAATTGACCAAAACTAGCTCTTTATACATTGCAATAAAAGGAAATGATGAATTCGGCATGTGCTTGAATTGACTTGTTCCGAATTCGGGAGGCATTTTTAAAAGCAAGTATTAACACAGGAAGCGAAATAAATTTTTATTTGGAATAGGAGATACAGAGGATGGAATAATACAACTAAGAGCGCTTTTACAATAAACAGTCGAATATATCGTCGGTATAGAAGAGAAAAGTGACCAAGTCCAATATTAACAGTTTTAAGCTATTAATATTTGAAGATTTATGAACAATTATAAAATTCAATTATTTCTTGTAAGTTTATTTTATTGGAAATACATATTGAATAGGTTTTGGTTAATCTACTGCAATAATCAAAAGTAACTTAAGTATCGTTTTATTACAGTCATATACCTGGTATTATTTTTCTATTCGAAGGAAAGGACTTGGTCACATGAATATAAAAATCAATTATGTCTTGTAAGTTTATTTTATGGAAATACATATTGAAAGTAGGTTTTTGTTAATCTACTACCATAATCAAAAAATTGTATTGTTTTATTAGCCATAATATGACTACCTATTATTTTCCTATTTGAAGGAAATTAAGGTCAATTTCTTCACCTAACATTTATTAACTATAACAAATAATTAAACAATAATAATTACTAATAAGAAAAATCCAGTAGCATTAAAATAATCCTAACGTTATACTTGATCATCACTGCTTTCATCTTGTGCAGGTTCGGTTCATTTGTCTTTTGTTTAATTATTGCTTGGTAAGTTCATGTACCAGCCATGATATTTATTGGGAATAAATCCAGTTTGGCAATGCTCAACTAAGTCATCCTTTTTGTTTTTGGATATTGGCAATGGATCTGAGTAGCACTTTTTAAAATCTGATTGTTTCGGCGTACTACTGGGTCTACCCTTTACTTTTCCTCTCACATTTAGAACTTTGTATTTGAGAATTTGGACTGGGCCACTTTCTTTTGTATACCGACTGTGTAAGGCCTTTAACGTGAAGTCAGGGAAGTTTTATCTTCGCTTAACTTTTCTGCTGTTCTTGGTATGTAATTATCGCTAAACTAATGGTTTTTCCTTATAACGTTTTCAGATAATTGTCTCACATAATAGGACGCCAATTTTTAGATTTACCAACGATGTTATCGCAAGCGCAGCGTTCGGAATTAAAGTTGACTCACTGGCGCAACCCAAAAATGAATTTTACTCTATGGGAAGAAAATTAACCAATCCTTCCGGTTTTAAAACGATCGTGAAATTTATAGGGCATCTGATTGTGCCTAAATTATTCCGCGTAAGTTTGACATGCCGTTCGTCAATTGAGGTACCAATTTAAGTTATATCCAATGCAGATTCTTGGAATAACTATTATCGACAGCAAGCTGTCAAAATTTTTCACCCAAATCATCACCGAAACGATTAAAGCTAGAGAGGAAGGGGGAATCGTCCGTCCGGATATGATTAACCTTCTGCTGCAGGCCAGGAAAGGGGTGAAACACGATGCCGGTACAAATATAGATACTGGATTTGCCACCGTGCAAGAATTCGACTTGGGTAAGTTTCGATACAGTATTAAAGGAAGGCGTTGGCTTTTATCGATGCATATTCTTCGATATATAACTCATTTTTATCATTCGATGTTTGTATTTTTGGGAGTAACATTTCAAAATCCTTGTAACGGTCGCGTGGCTCATTTCTCAAGTAGATGTATAGTGCCGATATAAGCAACAGAAACCGTACATAACCTCAATTTCCTAACCCCCCCGCAGCGGGGGCCCCCCGCGCGTGGCGTCCTAGTGTCCCCCCTGTCTACCAGAGTGCGCTCCGCCCCCCACCCAGCTTGTGTAGCGTCCTGTTTTGCCCCGGTTCCGCCCGTCGCTGCTAGATGTCGCGCGCTTGTGTAGCGTCCTGTTTTGCCCCGGTTCCGCCCGTCGCTGCTAGATGTCGCGCGCTCCGACCGTCGTAGGCCCCCCCGGTAGAGGGCGGTGACGGTGCGGCACGGAGACGGTGTGGCGCGGTGACGCGGGTGATCGGGTCGTCGGTAAACAAGTCGAGTGACTTATACAGAGTGTCTCAATAATCACGGTTTAATAAAAGAAAAACTATAGATACAATAGTAAATATTTATTAGCTCATATGTAGACAACGTAATGCTTCGTACAAGCGGTGTTTCTGGTCCATGAGATTTTCTACTTCATCGCGGTCGAGGATAATTTCGTCGCCATGATCCCGTTTCAGTATCAACTCACAGCTCTCTTCTTCGTTCGAATAGGTCACCTCGATACTGCTCCCGATGTAGACTGTTATGTCGTTCCAGAACATGATTTCTCCCACCTCGTCCTCCAGAAAGAACAAAAAATCCCAAAAATCCTGGACTTGAAAATCTATGTGCTTGTTCTTGAAGATGAAACGGACACCTGAATTCTTTATTTCGAAAATCGTGTTTTCATCGATAGTGACCACTTTGTTACACATTGTGACAAACAGACTGACTTCGGTATCAAATTCAAATGTACTTATATATCAACAACCCCCCACTATCGGTGTAATTAAGAGAGATATTTACATTTAGTCAATTTGAATAAGCATTTTGCCAAAAGAAGCAAACAAGCGCACGTAGTTACATATAGCGGGATTAAAATAGTTTTTCGATCTGCCGAGATGTTGTATTCGTTACCGCAATTGTCGTTAACGCCGCCGCTGGTGTTATTGGAATTCTTGATAGCGATCGTTTGCCATTCGCCGTGGTCTTCGTAGCTCCGGTTCGCAAAAACGAAACGTACCTTGTAATTTAAATACGGCTTATCTGCGGTAGTGTTATTCGACAATGTCACGCTAAAAGTTTGTAGCTTGTCGATTCCGTTGACCTGAGCGAGTTGCATACGCGTCCACGTATCGGGCCAAATGCACCGATTATTATGATTTTTGAAACAAACGAACGCTTCAATCACATCCTTAGGTTTATGTATATAGAAAACGTTTTGTACCACAGCCGACAACAAAACAAAGTGAGCACTTAACAAAACCATGTTTCTAGCCCGAATGAATCTATCCTAGATCTCGGTAACTGCTTTTATAACACTCAAACAATAATGACATTTATTCTGGGGAGGTGCCGGGCCGTCGATATGCATTTTGCTGTCCGGTCTGTTATAGTGAACAAAGCAGGGCAAATGAGTTTGCAATTCAAAATTGTTGCGATGTCGTACTGGTAACTTATGCCACATATTTAACAAATCGTGCGGTCTCACATGCTCCAAGAAATGTTGCACAGGAATCAATTCAAGTTGATCGGTATCCAAGCTTCTAAAATCGTCGAAGAAAACTAACTTCTTATTCATTGTTGTGAAAGATCGATAACTTTCTTAACAAATCCCTAATTTGTTTAAAGACACTCTCTGTGGGACAATTAATTGCGACAAGACTCAAGTCTATTTCACCGACTCTCGTTAATTTATTCAAAAATTCGTTGTATTCGTAATACGTTTTCTCTTTGAAAAAATACAAATGTCCGTTGGTGTATCGAAACGCGCCCGACAAATCGTCGGGCAGACCCGGAAACAGTTCCGTAGTAAAACCGTGTTCACTCGCACTCAAAGAACACTCGTCTATTTCTGCATAGTAGCGTTTACCGTAAAATATATACGTTCGACCGCCATACGTATTAAAAATAGCGTTCACTGTTTTACCCGCAGGCACACCCAGTCGCTGGACGCTTTGTCGGTCGCCCACTACCGTGAAACTCGGGAAGTGAAGTAAATAAAACGAATCACCGGTGACTACCAAAAGTTGTCCGTTGGGTCTCTGGTAGATATGCGAAATAGGAGCGTAAATAGGGACATAATCTGATATCATTTTAGGTTCCATGTAGACTTTATCACCTAATCTTATTATCCAAACCCATTTGTCGTAAAATAGATACATATGATGGTTAGACGTAACCAAAAATATGGATGGATTTACGTGACACAAATCTGGTACTTTTGTTTCGTTTTTCCCTATCGGAGGTTTCGTAGTTGTGGTAGTAGTGGTAGTTGATGTTGTTGTGGTCGGAGTTGTTACGCGGGCGGTGGTTGTGGTTTTTTTACCATATAAACGTTGAAGACCTGCAACATCGTCGTATGACAATGTCTTAGAATTTAAGCTATACCAAGGGTACATAATGGCATTGCGATCGTTACTGTGCGCCAAACCCAACGTATGTCCAATTTCGTGGAACAACACAGTAAACAAGCTCGTTTTTCCTCCGGGCGCAGGCACTTCTAAACCGTAGTACCAATCTTCGGATTTATCCAAATGAACTTCCACGCACTCTTGTTGTTGATTTGGAAAAAATGCATGTCCTAATATGTTACCCCTTCCGTCAAAAGCAAAAGGACAGGATTCGTTCCCTTTACATCTTATGCTTTGTCTGTGGGTAGTATATTTGTCAGACATCAAAATCATTATATCCGGCTCTGAGTAATTTAAGAAAAAATTTAAATTTGATTCATCACTCCATATTTTAAAAACCTCGGTTGCCAGCACTTTTAACTCTTGATAGTGACTGGGCGGTACTTGAATATACCAATTTAAATCCGTTTTCTGCCATCGCGAAACAGTCGTGAAGGCATTTTCTATTACACCACATCGGGGTTTATTTATTAGTTCGACGGTTTCGTTATTAAGAGTACCATCCACCGGTAAATTATAGAAATCCTGAAAATCCATTAGGGCACGTTGCAAACTCGACGCATTGATCTGCGTTAAAGATTCGTTGTCGTTAGGTGAAAGGAATCCGAATTTTTGTAAATATTCAATCACACCTTCCTCGGGCAGCGCGGCGACTATCGTCGACACGTCCGAACAGGTAGTAAAGACAGCGTAGCATAGCAACAAGACTCTCATCTCGTTCAAGGTCAGTAAAATACTAAAATGTATTCGGTTCCTAGCTAATCTTTTATAGGTAAAATAACAAAGAGAAGTGATGAACCAAACGCTTTTAGTCGCTATTTTGCGTGAGATGACGCAGAATATTACTCGAGAAATGGAACGAAAAAAGAATTATACTTCAATAGATTACAGTTTCGCAGTTTGTATTCATATCATAGCATTAGCGTGCTTTATTTTTACGTGTAAATGTATTATTAATTTTTTTGGATTGAAATAAAAAGTCTTATTTAAATAAAGAAAGTTTTATTTCATACAGGGATCCTTGAATACAACCAATTATATAAAAGGGCAGAATTTCTCAACGCGCACATGCGCAGTCTTCCTCCGGAGTGAAACATGCAATGGGCGTGATCCGGTTGAAATTTCGGCGGATTCAACCAATTATCATCATCGAATTTCTCCACGTTAATGACTCTGCATGCGACATCCTCCTGATCCATTTTCGACATTAAAAATTCCATTTTTGATCTTCCTCTCACGTATATCAAGTCAGCATTTTCTATCAGTAGTCCGATCAACGTATCAATGTCGGAATATTGAACAAAACCAGAACTGTATTTGAGACCGTGATGATATTGTTCGAGCCAGCGTACCGTTCTTTTTTCTGCACCGGTCAACGTGCAATATTCACGCGGCGGTTTCAAAACGTAATGACTAATTTGACATCCATTGTAGACAGCCATTTCTTTAACGACAAATCCATCTTCTAACTGGAAGCCTTGAATATCTACCGCAACGATGCGCATTTTTAATATGACTGGTTAAGATTAGGTTCCTCCGGCGGTATTTATGTTAGATTTCGAACAATCTCGCTGAGCGGTAGTTGTTCCACGATACAATCGTGAATGATGATGCAATAGGCACGTGTATTCGCGGGAAATCCCTTTTTTGCTTCGATGTCTAACTTTACGTCGACAGTGTTGGATTTTACACTGTCGTTTCTTCGAGAACAGTCAATGACGAAAATCGCGCAGTTTTTGAAAGCCATATAGTCAAGCAACGCAGTTTTTTCCTCACATCCCTTATAACTGGGGTAGAAATCCGTGTAATTGTGATGCGCTTCCACGAAGTCATTCTTTTCAAAATCTAATCGTAAACGTTCGTGAGGGTAATATTCTCCGTTTAGTGTTAATCTTATATCCGTTACGTCGACGTGATCGAAAAGCGTCGCATTTTTCGCTTCGTTGTCTTTGCGATTTGTTTGAAAAGCGACTATTACGTATCGGGGGCTTTCGATAGCCGCGCACGTCTTGACAGACCAAATTTCTTTGGTAGAGCCCGCGGTTAGGGCAGGATATTCATGAAGTTCCCATCGTCTATAGGGTATCAATATGGGTTGATCTAATCTAATCGATTTCAGCAGAGCCAATTTGATTTCGTCGTTTGGAAATATGTGCTTGACCCTAAGATCGACACTATCAATTTTTAATTCCGCCGTTGTTTTAATTGCACTGGCCGCAACACCGCCCATTGGTTTAATTATCATACAATTTTTGTCATGTCTGGCTCTTACCAATCTTATGGTTTGTTTTCCACAAGTTATCATATTATAATCATTAAATATGTTTAAAAAGTGTCGTAACGGGATTCGCATGCTAAAATGTCCATTTTCTGTATCGTGA